AAGGCAGCGGCTTAACCCACTGAGCCACCCAGGCGTCCCCAGCAGGACACTTTTAAAGAGGATGACACCGATCCCAGATATATTAAGGAGTGAAATAGATGGCAGCTGGGGACAGAAAGAGAGAACAGGGCACTAAGGAGAGGGATACGAGCCTAGAATAACTCCCAACTTTTCTCTTGGATAATGAGATGATTGCTGTTGCCATTGATTAAAGAAATAAAGGAAACAGAAAGAGAAGCTGGTTTCATTAGTGAAGGATATTTTGAAGATGTGAGGTCTGTGGGAGCCCAGGAAAGATGTATATAGCATGCAGCAGGAGATATGAAACTGAAAATCAGTCAGAGGTTTGGAAGTAACCAGAAATCCAACCTAGAGAGACCACACAGCTGAATTTAGCCTGAAGGTTTAAAACCCTGCAGTCGTACCCAGGTGGGTTCCTTTCCATCCTACCCAGCACATCTCTCTGCATGCCGAGTAATCTTACATTCTACCCACAAAGATCACTTGAAAATCTCCTCCCTGATTGCTGTGCTTTTAATGTTTTGTTCCTCCAAAACTCATGTTGAAATTCTAATGCCCAGTGTGATGGTATTAGGAAGTGGGGTCTTCAGGAGGTGCTTAGGTCATGAGGGTGGAGGCCTCATAATGGGGATTAGTATTTTATAAAAGAAACCCCAGAAATTCCACCCATCCTCCATCATGTGAGGACGCAGATATCAGCTGTCTGCAAACTGGAAGAGAGTCCTGTCCAGAACCTGATCACTCCGGCACCCTGATCTTGAACCGCCAGCCTCTACAAGTCTGAGAAATAAACTTCTACTGTTTATAAGTCACCTAGTCTGTGGTATTGTGTTACAGTAGCCCAAGCAGACTAAAACACTGATCAAATTTGCCTGATGACAGAACACAGAACACCTGATGACAGAAATGGAAAGCCGTCATTTTCAATATATCATGGAACCAACCCGCGCTTATAGATCTGGTGCAGCCATCTCTTGTCCTTCCCCTTGTCCCTGGTTTGGAAGCTATTCATGCTATTAATTTTTTATTTTTCTTAAAGGTAGAGGCTGGAAACTAGCACTTTTTTCCCCTTAAATTGAGCCCTGTTTAGAAACCAGTGTTCCAGCCTTAACACTGGGCAAAGATTGATCATTAAGGCTGGAATGGTCTCACCACATGTCATTTATTTTCATCATAATAACACAGCTCAGGCCATTGAACGAGACACTGCAAAAGACTAACAAATAGAAACTGCCTCTGATCATTTGTATTTTGTTGATTTTGTATTGTTTCAAATAACACAGAGGATTCCACTCTCCAAGCATTCTGGGTTAATACATTACATTAAACCCAATACATTTGGCATTCTCACTCATTAATAATATCATCACATTCCTTGACATCCATGACAGTGAAACGACCATTCGGGGTTTCCAGAAGGTGTATCTGCCTGACTACGCTTATAACTGGACTGGAAAGCTCTGCAGAGAAAACACAGCCTAGTCTCAGCCACCCAGAAGACCACATTCCAAGGCACATGTATCATGTAGACAAGAATCAGCACAAATACAGCATCTTTTATATTTTCATAATTTTGTTTTGATAATACTGGCCAAAACTGCTTTTTCCAATTCCTCTTCCTTTTTTTTCTCTCCTCTCACTACACATGTGTCTTGTCCCCAGTATTCCACTGAAAGTTTTCTGTGAAGTTCACCTTGACCTCCATGGTATTAAATTCAGCAATCAACATCAGGTCCTCATCTTCTTCTACACCAGCCAAACGGATGGTTCTGTTTTTCCTAGACACACTGCAATAAAGCACTCTCTTGCTGCACTTGGATGCCCCTTCTGAGCCTCTTTTGCCACTTCTTAGTTCCCCAATCTTCTATGACTTAGACTTAGTCCTGCTTCTCTACATACTCCTGTTTTAGAGGATCTCTGCTAGTCCCATGACTTTAAAAGTCATTTCTATGCTGAGGACTTCAAATAAATTTCTAGTCCTTATCCCACCTCTGAAGTACAAATTCAGAATAAGCTTCTCAAACATGGTATGTCCGAAATTAATGTTCTAAATTTTCCCTGAAATCTGCTCCTTCTGAAATCCTCCCCGTGTTATTTAGTGAGTACTCACTATCCTAAGTGCTAAAGCCAAAACCTCAAGTTCATTGATTCCTCCTTCCCTCGTATACCATCCTCAATCCAACAGTAATTCCTGTTGGCTCTACCATCAGGCTATATCTAGAATGTGACCACTTTCACACCTCCATTCTCCTTCCCTGGGCCAAGTCATAATAACGTGTTACCTGGTTTGTTACATCCTTACTGGCTTCCTGGCTTCAGCTCCTGCCCATCCACAGTCAAATTATATCTAGACAACCTAGCCTTATGCTAGCAGAAAAGACCTGGAAGTTGTGGGTTTGCAACCAACAGTGTCTGTCACAATAATAAGTTTTACTGATTAGATGAAAGTGCCCTGTAAAGAAGGCTCTTCTCAAACCATTTATGCTATTAGGAAGAAAGGATGGAAGGGGTCTTCTAGAAGTTACATGATATGACCAGTCAGGACTGGCTTCATGGCCATAAATCCTGTGTCGATGTACAAGGCACTGAACTCAGAAATGTCTCGTATTTGCTTTAATGTTCTCTAATGCTGTCATCCTCTTGAAATTCTTTTTTATTTTTAAGGTTTTACTTATTATTTATTTGACAGACAGAGATTATAAGTAGGCAGAGAGGCAGGCAGAGAGAGAGGAAGGGAAGCAGGCTCACTGCCGAGCAGAGAGAGCCCGATGTGGGGTTCGATCCCAGGACTCTGGGATCATGACCTGAGCTGAAGGCAGAGGCTTTAACCCATCGAGCCACCCAGGCGCCCCCCTCTTGAAATTCTTAATAATTTTTTAACAAGGAGCCCTTCATTTTTATTGTGTACGGAGCCCTGCAGGTTATGTAGCTGGTCCTGTAGTCAATGCCAGACTCTATTATCCGGCAGCAGGAATTAAGGGGGAAAAGTAAATCTTGGAATTACTGCAGCAGAACAACAAATATCTAATGACTGAATATGAAGTAAATGTAAAAATAAAACTTAGAATCTTTTTCTGGAAAGATGGTGGTGATTCCTAGGGGGAACCCAGTGGAAAAAGAAATTTTGTTTCAAAGAAAATGAGAACAACCCTATCAGTCCAAGGAACTGGAGTTTGAGAATTTAATCTCCAAAGAGAAGAGAGAGCAGACTGAATCTTTGGAACAGAGGCTGTAGTTAAGGTATAAGAAATTAGATGAGATCACCAAGGAGTAAATGTATAGAGAAAAGGAAAAAAGGAGAGCCTTGGGGGCTTCAGTAACTGAGGTTTGGAATGGGTTACTACATTCTCTCTTTTCTTGTGGAATATTTACTCACATAGGGGAGAGTTTCTCTGAAGACTTGAAAGAACCAAAACTGGTTTAAGGTTTGGGGTGGTGGAATTAGGTGGGACCTCAGAGATAATCTCATTCAACACCCACACTTTAGAGATGAGAAAACCAATGCTCCAGAAAACTTTTTTTAAAAAAATTCTGTGTTCCCTTCTCTGAATGTTTTTAAATGCGCTGTCCAAAAATGAAGGAAAAAAAAAATCTTTGGCAACTCATGAAGGTAGAAATAGCCCCTACTTTGACAGGATACCCTCACATGAATTCTCTGTACTTTTGAGTCCTCCACGGTAAAAGGGGGACAACACCTCTCTGGCACAAGTCTCCCCTTCCACCTTTGCCATAGACAGATCACAGCCCAAGACAGCCTGGCTGAGGGTGGCAGCCTGGGGTTGGGCTACATCTGTCTGCCTCTGCCAGGAGGGACTCCTTTTTGTTTCTAAGTCACCCAAAATCTACATCCCTGTAAAGCAGGGTTCTGAATGTGAGATGGTGCATGTGAAGTGGATGGCAGGAGCAGAGTAAGTTCTCAATAAAGAGGGATGTAATTCCTAGGAACTCTTTAGTGCGTATTTCTTACACTTAAGAAGCTTGTGTCAAACACAAAACACCAAACTAGAATTTATTGGTAATTTTAATAAGAAAGAACGTATCTATTCCCAACACTTGCAATATTGCCCTGGAATCTTACTGTAAAATTCTTAGAATTTCCGGGATACTAACACAACCAGATTATTTATAACTCTGGTAAAAAAAAATAAAAATAAATAAAAATAAAAACAAAACAACAAAAAAACACTACTGCAATTATTATTTAAGTATTCTGCACAGCGCAGGGGAAAAAATACTGAGAAATCTCACCAGAGTTCTCAAATTACAAAATATGGTGAGCACGAAAACAGTGATTTCCAATTAAGATTTTTTAAAAAACTGTATTCAAGTGTAGAGTACCGTTTCTTCCTAATCAGGAAAGAAAACTCATAGTTTTTGTCAAAACGGTTTTCTTTCAGTATTTCCTTTTTTTTTTTTTTTCTTTCAGAATTTGTAAATGAGGCTCTAGCTCATGCTAGCCATTCAGGGACCACCTCGCCCTTGGATTGACCGGTCCGGCTCCCGTTCCCCCAACCGCGACAACCGAAAGCACGCGAGGGGGTCCACTTGTCACGCAGAATCGCGTCCTCAAACCGAAACGTAGCTGGACCCCTCGCAGCGCTCTCTGTAAGGGGCTAGGGGAACTCGTTTTTCCCACGGCGTCCGCACCCATAAAAGCCTGTCCCTAGGGACGGGGGTGGGGTGGGGAGTGATGGCGATTGCTGGACTGAACCTTGACTGGTCAAGTGGGGGTTCTTCACTTGGCTGTCCCCTCAGACAGTACTAAATAGAGCCCGGGCGACGGAGCTCCGAGGCCACCGCTTAGACGAAGAGCTCCTCCCCACTACTGTGAGCTCCCGCTTCGCCGGCCTCTGACGCACCACGCTTGCGCGCAAGCGCACAGTAGGGGCCGCGGGGCCAGGCCAGCGCGTGCGCAGTGTCGCGCATCTTCGCGACAGCGCCGCCTCCGCGCCAGAGCTGAGTAAGGACGGCGAGGCCCGCCTACTAGCTCGGAAGGAGGCGTGGGCATGGAGGCGGCTGGGGACGCCGAGCCCGGGGCTGGCTCTGATGCCTAGGGCGCCCTGTGGGCTCCGTGGGGGCACGGCCCGGTGCTGCGCGGATGGCCCTGCTTCCGCGGCACGCGCTCGCCTTCGTCCTCCTCCTCTTCGTGCCTGCCGCTCTCAGGTGCCAGGAGCAGGCCCAGACTACCGACTGGCGGGCCACGCTGAAGACCATCCGGAACGGCGTGCACAAGATAGACACGTACCTGAACGCCGCCTTGGACCTCCTCGGAGGCGAGGATGGGCTCTGCCAGTACAAGTGCAATGACGGTGAGAGGGAGCCCAGGCCCTGCGAGGCCCTCGCTTTCTGGGTGTTGCGGGGACCGAGGTCGTGGAGGTGTGGGATGCAAGGCAGACCTTGACGTTGTCCTCTAGCCGTGGAGAAACTTAACCACTGCTAGAGTCTTAGCATTCTTGTGATTGAGCAATCAGGTTAGAAGTTCGCACCACTATTGTTAGAATATAAGAGGTCACAGGAGGTGTACACTCCGACCTGTTTTCATTGCTTTTGAATTACTACCTTTTCTTTTTCTCTCTCCCTTTTTCTTTTGCTGTTGCACGAAGTTGCCTCAGAATTTTGTGACGTACGCATCGTGGGACTGGAGCAGAACAGACCGATTTTAGCCCCATATTTTAGCGCCGTTAGTCAGCCGAACATGGAGAAGAGACACAATTTTAATCATGACGTTTTACTTTTCTTAAGAATTGCTTTTAATTGTTTTCTTTTCCTGCAGGGCTACAGAAAATAAATTGCGACCTTTGTACAGACTTTTGGTGTACTCTTTTGTTGAGAAAGAGTTCTGATAACTCTTCCAGAAATTGTCTATCACGACTTGATAGTGACACTTCCTCTCCATTGTTGGTTAATACTAGTAATTGTTTTGATTTGCTTTTCATATTTTTAAACTTTAGTTCTTTCTGAATCTGAGAACTTGTTCGGTGGCATTTTTGGTAATAATAAACTCAGAGTCTTAGCAGATATCTTTCTTTTCAAGTACTTGCTTTTTCTGAATGTTTAAATATTGTAGCAGCTCAGATAAAGTACCCAGGCTTCTCTTTGCAAATTCAAAATGTAAAGATTTTGATTGGAAAATCATGTTTCCAATAAGAGTAGACAAAATTGGGGCCTAGTTCATTTAATGCTTGGCAGCTTAAAGCAATGGGGAATTCGGTGACCAGTAAAACCAGATGGCATGTAGGTGAATTTAAAAGAAATCTGTGTCATGTAAAACTGTGATGCCATTTGCTGCCTTTAATTCTCAAAATAATTTCTAGTTTTATGTTAATGGAGCTAAAGAATGAGCCATAGCTCATGTGCTATGAAGGGCTAAATGTTTCCTTCCTAAATTTATGCCTAAATGTTAACCACCAGTATGCAATGGGGAAGGATGTTTTTGTCCTTGTAGAGCTTGTTAGGAGGAGTAAGTGAACTATTTGAAAATTAAATATTGCCTTTCCTGAGGCGGATGTCATCATTTTACTTAGTCATCCCCATTCATTATACAAATATTTGAGTGCCTGTTACGTCTCAAGTGTTCTACCAGTTGGAGATTCAGCAGTAAACAGAACACAAAATTCCTGTCCATGGAGCTTACATTTTGGTGGGGAGAGACAGTAAACTAAAAAATAAGTAAAATAAGCCCAAAATGCAGTATATGTAGGTCTGAAGTATGGCAGTGTTTTGAGAACTATAGTAAAAACAGTGATGGTGTTGGGAGGTAGTTTCCTCATTTAAATAAGTTGTTCAGGGAAGGTCTCACTGATAAGACAGCATTTGAGAAGAAATCTGAAAATGCTGAAGGTGACACTATGATGATCTGGGGATAAAACCCTCCAGGCAGAGGGAATGGCCAGTGACAACGACCTAGGAGAAAGGCCAGTCGAGAATGACTCCGAAGATTTTGGCCTGAGCCAAAGGAAGGATGTGGTTGCCATTTACTGAGATAGGAAAGGCTTACATCTTCAATAAGCAGTCTTCATAAACTTGTGATGAATCAGGGTTTCTAGAGTTTATTTATATTTGAAATAGCTCTGACGTTGAATGGATACTGTTCCTATTAATAAAGATGACTTTGATGTTTTATTTTACTTAACCCTTTTATCTTCAACAAGCCTCACTAAATTTACCATGTGGAGTCTCAAGATCTCCAGCATAAATGAACTTGAGAGTTTAGGAAAGGGTATGCTTCAGTGAACATCCTTTTGTGTCTTAGTAATGCTGTCGGCTCATAGAATTGTGGTTCCAAGTCACCATGTTGATAATTCCAACATAATGAATATTGTTCTTTAATTGCTATTACTTGAGAAGTCTCCCTGGAACCCTATTTCAACCTTTCCGGTATTTTGGAATGCAAATGATCAAATCAGGACCAAACAAACAGACAAATCCCAAAACTAGAGGAGCATGGCAATTAAGGGGTGTTCAATAGTTGCAGTAAAGAGGTTAAAGGGAACTTAAAAAAAGACTTGGTAGTAGGGAGAGGATGATCAGATTAAAGGGCATAGCCTGGTTGAATTCAGTTATCTTTGTTTTATCAAAAGGATTGGCTTTATGGAGACTTGCTCCCTTCTGGCCATCCTCCCTCGGGTGGGAAGAACGCTTTATTGAGATTGAAATAAAGTTTCTTAGGGGAACAAATTACATGGTCACTTTTTTTTCTTAATTTTTTTTTCCCCAACTGCAAAGAAGATTTGAGAAAGAAAACCTTGATTTATTTTGAAAAATAGAAAACAAAATTGGCTTGTAAAGTGTTCTAGAATTATGAATAAGTAGCTCCTTCAGTGACACATGTTTTAACAGGATTCCTTTGGCTCTTGTGCAGAGGATAAGAGTCCAGGGAGGTGGGAGAGCAAGAACGGAGGCAGAGTGACAGGGGCAGGAATTCCGACAAAAGATGGTGGTGGTTTTGTCCAGGTTTGAAGCAAGAAAGGTGGTGAGAAGTGGTTAGATTTAGGGATATATTTTGAAGGAAGAGCCTGAAGGATTTGCTGATAGCTCAGAAGGAAGGTGTGAGTAGGGTAAAAAAATGATTCCAAAACTTAATTGGCCTAAATGATTGGAAGGATGGGGTTGCCCTTAACTGTAATAGGGCAGACCATGGAAAAAAGTCATTAGGAAAAATAATAGCATGTTTGTATGCTTTTGAGAATGATTCAGTAGAGAATGAAAACACTGTGGAGAGAGAAATGAAGAATTATTGGAGTCAGTTCCTTAGGTAAGTGAGAGGAGTGGGTTCCAGTGCATAAATAGATTGGCCAAGAGCACAGATGGCCTATCGCTTTAATAGGAACAAAGATAGGGGATAGGGGCACAGATGCTGATTAGGTGGATAGATGTCTGAGTTCTCTTCCAATCACTTCACAGTTTTCTCAGTGAAGTAGGAATCAAGGTCATCAGCTAAGAACGAAGTTGGGAATGGAAGTGTTAGACATTTGAGGAAAGTAGAGTGAGTGAACTAGAAAAATAAAGTAGCACAAGGGCCCTCCGGAGATTAATTCATGAATTAAAACCTCAAGTGTTTGGAAAAGCTGAATTCTACATTGCATTTCCTATAAAGCACAGTGCTAAGGTGTTTGTCCCAACAGCCTTCCCTATCTGTTTCCCATCGACTTCAGTGTCATTCACGTGAAAGAAAATGGTCTGTTTGGAAGTATTTACATCAAATTTCTAAAAAAATATATAGAAAAGATCTGTCGTTACCTCAGTCCAGGCAAATCTTTAGATTTTATTTGTCCATACTGATGCTAAAACAAAGCATCAAGAGAGGAGCATTTGCCTAAGTCAACAAGTAGAATCAATGAATAGTATTTCCATGTAGTTGTACCCAGTGGATTTGGTTTGTTTTTTATATTCATCTCATTTCATTTTTTTCTTAGCTTCCGGTATTGGCTTACAAATTTCAGGGGGTAGTAGCTCTGATACATCATCTAATATTTAGGCTCAAAATTTCAGCTATAGAGATGCTGAGTCTCTAGTAGTAGATAGTGTTTATTTTAGAAAGAACTGATGTTTTTTTCCTACTGTCCAATGTATCTTAGTACTGAGACATAGCTAAAATATATGCTAACTGTCTTGGGCTCTGTTAATACAAAACTTTATCTACTTCAAAATAGGCCCATCACACCTACTGGTGTTCAGTTTGGGATGGCACATTTTAAAGAGATGTGACAAACAAGAAATGATCAAGCTTTGGAGGTTGATTAATGCTTGCCAAACTTAAAGGAGACTGAAGGATAAGCGGCAGTACCAGTTTATTTATAATGAATATTAGAACTGCCTTCCAGGTAACCTGCCTATTCATTCATTCATTCATCAACAAATATTTATTGATAACCTAACCATACGCCAGGCAGTGTTCGAGGCTTTGAAGGCACAAAACAGAAATTCCTGCCATCATGGAGTTTATATTTTAGTATGGGGAGACAGATAATAAATAAGTAGGTTAATAATATAATATGTTTGACAGTTATGCGTGCTACATATGGTATGGTCAGAGAAGGCATTGCTGAGAACGTGAAGGAAGAGCCTTCACATAGAAGAATAGCAGGTTGAGTGGCATTAAGGCAGGAGCAGACTTGGAGTGTCTGGAATAACGGAGAAGTCAGATGTGATGGATTGAAGTGAGGAAGAGGAGAGAGAATAGTAAAATGAGGTCAGAGAAGTCATGGTGTGTTGTGTGGTGGTGTAGATTATATAGAGTTTCTAGACCTTGGAAGGGAATGTGGGCTTTTATTCTGAATAAGGTGAGAAGCCATTAGAGGGGTTTTGACAGAAGAAAAACGTGATCTAACATTTTAATAGGATCATTCAGGTTCAGTGTTGAGAATAGACAATGGCTAGAGGTGGTGTGGGGGTGCTGTGGAGTGGCGAAAGCGAAGTAGGGAGATATTAGGAGGTTATGGCAATAATCCGTGGTGGCTTAGAGCAGGATGGTAGCAGTGGAGTTGGGAAGAAGTGATTAGATTCTGGATATTTTAAAGGTAGAGTCAGCAGGACATGCTGTGAAGTGGATGTGGGATATAAGAAAATGAGAGAATTAAAGATGGCTAAGGTTTTTTCCTGAGCGCTGGGAATGTTGGAGTTGCTTTTATCTGAGAAGATGGAACTATGGATGGAGCAGGTTTCGGGATGAATGTCAGGAGGTACATCTAAAGTTTGAGGTGCCCATGAGGTACCCAGGTGGTTAGTATATCCTCCCTCTTTGGGCCCTGTTAAGTGGAAAGCCAAATCATAATCAATTTTCTTAAGAATGAAGGACCAAAAGCAGGAGGTGAAGGATCACAGTGACTCATCTGTGATAGCTTGAGGCATGTACCTTCATTTTCCAAGGGCCTAGAAACAACCATCCTTCTTAAACAGTGCTGGAGAAGCAAGAACAACTTCTGTCATTGACCTCCTCATTCCTCGTTCCATCATAACCATTCTCTTCATCCATACTACTCTTCAGACTGGGTGGAGCAGGCTAAAGCTTTGTATCTTCTTGAGGTTACACTCTCTTTAGGCTCTAGTTGTCAACTCAGTCAAGCATGTGAGTCTTAGCACCTCACTTAAACCATTTTTACATCCTTACTTTGAGTTGATTTCTTATTTTGGTGGTTGATTACTGGAAGAGCTGCTTTTGTCCCCGCTCCCCCCCACTGTACTTTTGGAGGGTAAACTTATTTTTGGTCTTCTAGTAATAAATAGTTGCCTGAAAGTTGGTGGATACTTTGTGTTTTTCCTAAATAAGGAACTCTGGAGAGAGAGAATTTGGAATAACAGGGAATGTTTTGCTTCTCGAATTGAAGATAAATGGAAGTCCCAGATGTTGGGAGGATTGCTCATGTAAAATAGGTAATTGGCTTGTTTTGTGTTCCCCAGGGGTAGAGGGTTGCTCAAAAGAAAACAGGAAAGAATTTAACAGTTAGTGCCATTCCACAATGGAATAGGCTCTTTCTTCATGCTGTAGGAGGATCGTGGGAAACATTCAAGAGAAAGTAGGTGACCGTTTGGTATCTTGAGGTGATGGATATATTTCATGAGGAGAGATATTTTTGAAGTATTTTGCAGCAGTTAAGATTGCTGTGATAAGGTCATCTTTCTCCTTGTTACTGAACCATTGGTGCTTTTAGGGAGAATAAAACTGGAGTAATATGGTTCACCAAGCTATCTTTATTCCTGACCTTTTTTCTTAGCTGGCAAAGAAGTATATTTGTGAAATGGTTGGTTGGAGTCCAGGCTAGAATATGTGGTCCTGTAATGTCTTACAATGGCATTAAGGCAATTAAATGTTCATTGGGTGACCTTTTATCTTCCTTAGCTTTAAGCTCTTTGAGTAAACTGGTTAGTTAATGGTTATTGAAGTTTGTGTATAGTGGAGTATTGGCTGAAGGTTGGGAAGATACAGTTTTGCCCTATAAGCTTTTAACCAAAAAAAGGTGTTAGAATGAACAGGGAAACAGAGTGGATTTATCTTTCATATATATGGACCCAGTCTCGCATATACTCTTTGAAACCTCCTGAAGTCGAGAGTAAGCTTTTACATGTTTTGTATAGTATAGGCTTAGAATAAAGACATTCACTTATGTCAGTACCCAAATATTAAATATTTCCAAGGCTAATCTAGTAGTACATCATAGACCTTTCTGCATGTTTTTCATCATACTTGAAAATTAATTATACCATTTATATTTTATAGGATCTAAGCCTTTCCCACGTTACGGTTATAAACCCTCCCCGCCGAATGGATGTGGCTCTCCACTGTTTGGTGTTCACGTAAATACCATTATTTTCTTATTTGGAAAGCTTTATGATCAGTAGGCTATGTAGTACTCTTTTTTTTTTTTTTTTTTAAGAGATTTATTTATTAGAAAGCGGGCATAGGTCAGGGTGGGGAGGGGCAGATATCGAGGGAAAGGGAGAATCTCAAGCAGACCCCCTGCTGAGTGTGGAGTCCAGCAGCTCAGCCCTGAGATCATAACCTGGGCCAAAATCAAGAGCCAGACACTCAGCTGACTGAGCCACCCAGGCGCCCCAACTGTGTAGTACCCTTAATTATGCAAGACTGTCAGTGTGTTCTCAGGATCACAAATAATTTTGCTTGTTATAATGGTAATTGAGTTTATTATATTCTTTTATAGCTAAAACATATTAGTAAGTCCTAACAAAACCAAATGGAATAAAATTCATGTTTAATTTTTTAATCTTATAGATATTAATATTATTTAAAAGATATTTCTTTTTAAACGTGGTTTAAAAAATTTATACGAGTAATGCTACTTCGGATAAAAAAGTATAGATAAAGCATATTTTCTATACTAAAGCAAAGCTAAATAAGATAGCTGTGTTTTTGGGTAGGCGAAGCTGAATCTGAGCCAACTATTGTGAGAAAAAAATGTTGATGAGTGATTCCTGGACATAAGGGTCTTACGTATAAAGTTATTGAAACCAATTAAAGATAATTTATAGATTTGAAGGAACAGTATCTTTAGGGAATTGATACTTAAAGGTCGAACCACAATAAAATAAAATGTAAGTTGTAGGAGCTTTAAAGTTTTCAGTGATACTTTATGTAAAGTACATTTTATATGGGGAGAGGTACAGACTACTTTGGAATGTCCAAAAATCAGTCTTTGCTCTTAGCCTGACCTTTCTGTTCTTAAAACTATGTTTTGAGTTTTGGACAATTGGAAGTTACATTTGTTATAGCAGATAACTGAATATTGCAAAAGAGGGAGTTCTGAGGCATGGCTGAGAGGGAGAGCATGTAGGTGCATGTGGGTGAGTGATGGGCAGATGCATAAATAACATGGAAAACATTTGTAGACAGAAATGGATTTGGGGAGTTATGCAGCAGTCATCTTCCTCGTTTTCTAAGTCTACTTGAATGCATTACTTTAGCAGAGGAGTTTTTAATTTCACCAACAATAATCCATCCAAATGCCTCTTTCAGCTTAATATTGGCATCCCTTCCCTGACAAAGTGCTGTAACCAACACGACAGGTGCTATGAGACCTGCGGCAAGAGCAAGAACGACTGCGATGAGGAGTTCCAGTATTGCCTCTCTAAGATCTGCCGGGATGTGCAGAAGACACTAGGACTGGCTCAGCACGTTCAGGGTAAGAGTGATGCAGCAGGATGAAGATGAGCGCAGTTTGTCAGGTTTTACTGACTGCTTTATGTTTCACTACAGGAGGTACCACTAGAAATCTTTCGCTGTGTATTACTCTCTCTGTTGTGACACAGCCCCTTCAGTTTTCTGAGATGAGGAGTCGTTGATTTTGTCATCTCAAATGATTTATAGTTGTGGAAGCAAAAAGTGTTAGGAAACCTTGGGAAGAGGGTATGCGAGGCAGACAAGAATTCATCCATGATCTTGTACCCTGTAGTCTGTCTCTAATTATGAGAGCCTAAAGTTTGAAATCCTGGATCCAGTGATTTTAAGTATATAACACATAGGATTTCAAGTGGGAAGTTCTAGAGGGTTTGCGCTTAACTGTCTCTTCATATGTATCTGTGTCAGGAGGGTCCCCAAAACCACCTCTAGGTTTGCTAGGAGCACTCACAGGATTCAGCAAATAGTCATACTCAGAGCGAAGGGATATGAAGCAGAGTCAGCAAAGGGAAAAGGTGTATCAGTGTGCCCATTTATAAAATAATACCCATGTCATAGAATTGGCATAAAGATAGAAAATAAAACATTTGTGGAAATACAAATAACTGTACAAATACTAGAAGTTATAAAATCTTTTCAGTGTCAAGCCAAAGTATTTATCATACATCGAAATTGGAAGAGAAGGTGCAAGAAAGGAAACTATGCGTTTTAAAGCATTTTTCATAAGATACCATGCTAGATATTTTAGATCTGTTTTCCTCAGTGTTCACAAAAACCCAAAGAAGTAGGTAGTGGTATACTCATTTTCCAAGGAAGGAAACGGAAGTTCCAGGAAGTAACTTGTCCTAAGTTGCATACTTCCGATTTTAAAACTCGTGCTCTGTCTACTGCAGTATTCCCTGAATAATGTCATGGGTCAGATTCTGAATTCGTAGTAGTAACTGTCAAGGAAGAAGTCTCTGCAGCTTGAATTCCCAGCCTCTAAATGCTTTGCACGCTCTTGGCTGAGCAAGCTAGTTGCACAGTGGACGCATACATGAATGTATCTCCTGTCTTCTGATCTAAGGACGTACTCATTTGGCTAAATAATGAAGCCAGTTTCCTTCCAATGCCCTATTGAATAAGTATAGTCTTTACACTTCAGTGGTGGTTGTGTTCTTTAACAGCACAGCCTTCTGGAGAAGTTTGAAGATGTCAGGATTTTGCAATGAATAGTTTCTTCCTTAATGTGAGTATTTGGATGACTAAAAGCTATTCTGTGCTGTGCTGTGTATGAAGATTATCTCAGCTGGCTGTTCCAGGCTTCTTAGAATAAGAAAAGTAAATCCATTATCTTTTTTATAGTCCTAAAAAAAAATTTTAAACCCTGCCAGAGGAAAAACACTTCTAATTCCTATGTCTCTCTTCCCAGGCCAAATTGGGATACTGAGAAAGAGCGAGAGACTGGGGTCCATTTACCTTAAGTCTCTTAAATGGTGTGTGATTAGTTCGTAGAAGTCATTGGCCAAAATTAAATGTTTTGATGTTTCTCTGTTTTGTTTTTTTTTAAAGATTTTATTTATTTATTTGACAGACAGAAATCACAAATAGGCAGAGAGGCAGGCAGAGAGAGAGGAGGAAGCAGGCTCCCTGCCGAGCAGAGAGCCCGACTCGGGGCTCAATCCCAGGACCCTGGGATCATGACCTGAGCTGAAGGCAGAGGCTTTAACCCACTGAGCCACCCAGGCGCCCCTGTTTCTCTGTTTTCAACCTTTATTTTTTTGTACACCTAAAAATCTTCCCTTGAACTGCAAAATTAAATGTGTTCGAAGGCATCTTTATTAGTGGTATTTTTCAGATAAAAGGAAAAGTAAACGTGATGAATTGTGTTATTGAGAGAGACTCATTTGCCTTGTAGAAAAAAAATAGGGATGCACAGTTGTGAGCAAACAAAAAAGTAGATACATGCTCAACATGCTAACACTGGAAGTCTGTGTGTGTGTGTGCTTCTGGCCTGTGAGGGTTTGGGAGATCGTTGATACAACAGATGTTTAAGTGCTCACTAAGGATGTGCCTGACACTGTGCTGTAACATGTAATATGTGTGGAGGGAGAGCAGTTGCCGGCAGTAACAGCACTTTCTTACTTTGCAGCCTGTGAAACCACAGTGGAGCTCTTGTTTGACAGTGTTATACATTTAGGCTGTAAACCGTATCTGGACAGCCAACGAGCCGCATGTAGGTGTCGCTACGAAGAGAAAAGTGATCTTTAAAGAAGATGCTGACAGTTGGTGACAGCAGATAAGGACAGAAGAATATAGCCTTTGACAAAGATCTACTGTTTTTATACCACAAAGCTGCCTTATTTTTGTGAAAGGGTTATTTTAAGACTTTATTTTGGCATTAAAGTACAAACTAAAGAAAAATGTGTGGGAGGTGATCTTCCTGGATGTTGCTGCCTTATTGTACCGAATTGTCTTGACCAGTTTCAGAAAGAGGTGCATGTTAAGGGGAGAATATTTTAAAAGGAGTCTGTATCTCAGTATTCACAACTGTATTTACCAAAACAATGAGGTCAAATGTAAAATTGATTACAAGGTATGTTGAACATAATCTTATTTGGAAATATGGGAAAATCTTCACTTAGAAGTATATGTTTACGATAAAATTTTAAATACACATTTATTCCTGGAAAGATCTGACTTTATTTTTTCTCTATTTTAATTAACACATAATATGCTGTTTTCCTGTAGCCCATCAAGCATATGAATAATAACTTCCGTTAGTGATAAGACTAGTTGCAAGGAAAAGTTTTCCATGTCTTTTTTTCTTACAAAATTGGAACCATCAACTGGTGGCCTTTTAGGGGGCAAAACCAGGGTATCTAGGTATTATGTAATGTGTCTAGAAGGTGACATGAATAAAATTCAGAAGCACAGCCACTCCCATTTTATGAACCATTCATAGGACAGACATCATATTTTGCTATAACCTTGGCATAAATTGAAGAAAAGATGGATTTAATGAGACAATTGAAAAGTTACTTCACATACAGATTAGAGCATTATATGCTGCTATGCTTTGGTGTTTTTTCCCTAGTACTTGGTCCTCATACTAGATTCAGGTTTATTTTGAAAAGTCTGTAACCTTTTGCTAATAATGGTCTTAAGAAATACTGTTCTTGATACTTTTTTTTTAAGTCTTTAACTGTGGAATCAAAAGGGATGGTAAAGCAAGATACAAAGAACTATCTTTTGTAGCTTTTTTATTTACATTGAAAATTATTAGCAGATGTTTAAAAGCAAATTCCAGAACCTCAGCTGCCTCTGGAAATGTCTGTGCATGTTGAAAGTTTCTCCTTTCCAAAGTTTCCTTTGGAAAGCGCAGCTGTATTCCTCTACTGCTCTTTGCCTACCATTAATTGTTGGCTTTCCCTAGCCTCGGATCCCAAGCCATAGATAGCTTTTGGGTTACCTATAGCCAAAGTTACAAAGATAAAATGCTTAGAACATCAGAAAGGACAGCTTCAAGAGAGGTGGTTCTCTTTAAGTCATTACAGGCAAAGGGGCAGAGAAAAAAATATATTCTGGGGAAAGGGCCACATTCCTAACTTTGAATAGGTATCGTTGCTAAAAATCTAGTAACTTCCCAAACTGAGATGATGGAGCTTTTCTGCTAAGAGATGTGTCGTCTATGGGACAAGACAAGTGTATCCCTGTGACTAATTGAGCAAACTGGGTTCTAACTTAAATGTTTGGAACCCTTAATTGATACTTTCAGACTTTTAAAAAGGTAACAGTTTTATAAGCCATTATCCATATTTAATTTTTCCCAGTATTTACTGTTGAAATACTTGACCAGGTAACTTTAAACTTAGAATAAATTTGTGGATTTTCTTGGCAGCATTGGCTTCCTCAAGAGGACAGACTCAGAATTCTCTAAAATATTTAATTCATAGTTATAAATTATATACAAAGATCAGTGGAAGCTGTTTTTATGTGTTAAGATTTTTATCTTGGAATAATTTTAAGATTTACATAAAAGCTGCAAAGATAGAGACTTGCTATATACTCCTTACCCCTAATGTTAACATTTTACATAACCATGAAACATTTGTTAAGAAACCAACATCGGTAATTGCTATTAACTAAACTCTAGACTTCATCTGGATTGTATTGTTTTTCCACTAATGTCATTTTTCTTTTCCAGGATCCAGTCTAGGATACCACATTGCATTTAGTCATCATGTCTGATAAGCCTCTGGTCTGCGATGGCTCCACAGGCTTGTTTTTCAATATCTTAACAGTTTTGAGGAGTACTGATCAGGTATATTATAGAATGCCCCTCAATTTGGGCTTGAATGATGTTTCCCTCATAATTGTACTGGGGTTATGGATATTTAAGGAAAAAAAACCATAAAGTGTTCTTCTCATCAAATCATATCAATAGTTGAATGTTACTAACTTGGTGTGTCAACTCTGAAAACTTGCTTAAGGTAGTGTCTGTCAGGTTTCTCCACTATGAAGTTACTCTTTTTCCCTTTCCATACTTCTGTTCTTTGGAAGCCAGGCCCCAAGTCAGTCTGTGGGAGGTGGAGGGTGGCAAAATTCTGTTCTACTTGCTGGAAGGGGAATATCTTTATATAGTACTTGGGATTTTTCTCTAAAAAGGATTGGTCTTCTCACCCCTCCCATTTATTCAGTTACTTATATCAGTGTGGACTCATGTATATTTCTTTAGACTTTGGGTAATGTTTATTTTATTGCTTAAATTATTTCAGCTCGGCTAATGGGATTTATGTCAGGTTGGCTCCTGTTTGTCTTTAATGTGTCCCCATCCTTTTGATTTTTGAGCACTTCCATATTTCCTGGCAAGAAAGTAAGAATGTTGCTCTGGGCTTGTCTTGTATAGTTCCAGTGCTAGAATCAGCCTCTTCTTCAGAGAGCACCGGTTCTTGTTATTAGAGAATGCTTTCTAGTGGAACTTAGAAACCAATATCTGGGTGCTGGATGCGCTCATTGCTATAGGGATGTCACTGCTGCTAGACCCTCCCAACAAACAGAGCTAGGAAATATGTATGTGTATTAACCTATGTACATGTACAATCTATAATGATTACTGTGTGTGTTTGCATGTGTGTGTATATATATATATATATATATATATATATATATATAGCTGAACGTGAGTTCTTACTGATGTTTTCACTTGAATCATGTACCACAGAACATGTATTTAGATTTTGAGAATGGTATTTTCCCTATCCATAGAATAAATTCAAAAAGAAAAAAAAAAGAACAAGCAAAAAGAAAACCCCAAAACTAGCTTTTAGCAGCTCTCTGCAAGAAATACAATACTAATATTTTTAAATAAAACTATATTGCCTTCAAATAACGCTATGTCTTTAAAACCTTTTGACATACTTCTTCCAGCAACAGATAAGGCTGTATTCACTTCACTGGTGGAGAAACTGAGGCACCAAGAAGCTCTAAGGAAGAGAGAATTGAACTGTGAGGACAAAAGCAAATTAAACACATCTGGAGCAGGCTTTCTTTCAGTGAACCTGTACACTATACTAATAATATTATTTAAAAGTTTTATTAGCTTCTAACTAATTTTTCATAAGATGAAAAAGCATTTTTGTCAAAATTTGTAGAAGGTATGAGATTATCAGGAAACCATAATGTATAATATTTTATCGTGGTACAAAACAAGAATAACATCTAACGAAGACAATGGAGTCTCTCTAAAAACAACTGTTTAGTAGACTGACTTCAGTAACTTTGAGGTAGAGTGAAACCTATTAGGTAAGATTCTTCCACATATCTTTTGTTGCATTGTTCAAATTCAGAGCTATTACTTGCAGTATATTCAGGTCTTGTATAATGACTGGTTATAATAATTGAAGTAGCCAGCCCCTTTAGTTTGTAGTTTTTCCTCATGGCTTAACCTTACAAAACCAGCCATCTGCTCAAATCATAAAAGCAAGAATGAGGTGTAACAAAAAGTAACTAATAGTTATTAATAAAAATAACTAAAACTCGATCAATAGTCTCTTCTTGGCAAAAGCCATAGTGATATTGGGCTTTTTTGCCTCAGGCTTAAAGGTTTCCAAAACATCCAAGTCTCCTTGGTAATAACTTTACAAGCCTTTTTTTGTTGGCTTTTAACTTTTCTTAAGTGTAGGAATCACAATAGAAAACTAATATTTTTGTGATTATATAGGGAAAAACCAGAAGGTCTAGTGGGATAAACTGAAAAAATAAAAAAGACTAAAATTTGAAGATTATCTCTGAATTTTATTCCAGATGTTTCACTTCTAGGATAGGTGACAGCTACGACCTTCAGTTTCAGTAAGTTCTATGAAAGTGACATTCAAGCCATCTGTCAAGTAACTTTCAGTCTTTAGGGTATCTTAATTTTATGGATTTGCTTTAGGTTCTTTTTTTCTTCTTTGAGAAGGTAGGATGGGTGGGATTCTAATTAGTCTCTGTCCGTGGTTTTCAAACATGAGCATCCAGTTGAATCACTGGATTCTGGCATTAAAAACACTTAATGGGCACCACTCTCCCTACCCCCAGCTCCTCATTCAGATCTGATTCTGTAGGTCCCAGAGTTTGCCTTTTTAGTAAGTTCCTAGATGATGTGGATACTGCTGGCTCAGAGACCACAGTTTGGGAACTGGTCGAGGAAGTCTTCAGTAGCTAAAAATAATGTACTGAAAGCTTGCTATGGGCCAGGTACTGTTCTAGAAGTTCAGCAGTTACTGTCTCCAAAACTTGAGTAAACTTGGTCCCCATTTTACAGAGAAGAATTTGAAGCTGGGAGAGATTAAGTTGCATTATTTGTGCAATGTTTCAAGGCTAAGAAAATAGTGGAGCCAGGTTAGAATCTAGGCAGCCTGTTTGCCAGTCCTAGACACTTACCCATTTTATTGTGATAGCTATTGATTTAAAAAAGCTAAAATTACACATTTATAATTTTTGAAATAAGTATCTCAGAATGCTTTGTACTTATGTCTTAAGATAAGCAAAATCCTACTTTAAAATATAACCACATGCATAGCCTATAAAAACACAATTTTCTGAGATAAGATACTTAGGGGGAAAGCAAATTCCTTTCATCTGCTCCTTTCAGGTAAGTAGAAGGTCAGCTGTTCCACTCCTATAAGATAGGGAGTGTTTTCAGGACTCAAGTAGAGGAGATCCTGAAAATTAGGCAAAAGGACAGGAAGTTCTGGTGGTCAGATAACACATTCAAACTGGATAAAGTCCAGAGTGCAAATGGTGAAATCCTGGATCTCCTTCAATGGATAAATATTTATTGAGCACCACCTACATGCTAAGCAACCCTGCCAGGTAATGGGGAAACCAAAAGGCCAATCCTTTGAATGAGCTAAAAGATTGTGGTAACAGATAGTTTGAGCTCTTCAAAGCCATGCACTGTTTTAAGTAGTCATTTCACTTAATCCTTGCAAAACCTTGTAAGGCAGAGAATGATATTTCATGTCCTAACTACAGAATAAGTTGCTAAAATGGATTTCTGAAATATTTTACACATAGAGCGAAATGAACAGTAGTAAATAGGAAAATCCTGATTTCATACTCTAGTTAATGACCGAACACACGTGGGAAAAGTTATCACGTTAAATTTTGTTTTTCTCTCCCCAATAGAGTAATATTTATAGAAGACGGA